CCATGAACACTCAGCCCCAGATATTTTAAAAAGAGACAACTGTTTTGTGGGTATGTTTAAAATGAGTGTAATGGCCCTTTGATGAACGCAGTCAATGTATTTCCATGTGCATTTATTTGTCTGCACTTGAGTGCACATATCACGCAGTTGTGCGCATCTGTGTGCAGTCAGCCGCAACCATATCAGCTCTGTTCCACTCAGAGAGACGCCACAGCAGGGAGAGGAAATGCTGTGAGTCTAAATATTAGAGTTTGAATGCCCCAGCATTTCTCACCAGTGATGACAACAATCCAAGTGGAATCCATGCAGAGAAGGAGAACAAAAAACAGAAATGAATTTACAGCTCACCCAATGGGGGGATGGATGTGCCGAAGATGAAGTGATGATCATCTCTGTTCTCTGCTAAAATGAAATATGATGGCAAGGGAGCTCAGGCCCATTTCCTGGCTGGCACAGGAAGCACCCATCTGGAGCTGAGTGCTGTCTGTCCTCTGTTGTTGTGTTGCACAACGTTGTAAGAGCACTTGTCACTGCTGTTGCTGTTCTCAACGTTGTTATTATTTCTGAAGCACCACACAGGTCAGCCAAGGGAGATGGGGGAGAAAGGAGTGATGTTCATAGTTTAAGGTGCTGTGAATTGCTGAAGAGAGGGCTGGTAAAAAAAAAGGACAATAACTGAGGAGGGGAGTAATAGAGGGAGTGGGGGGCTTCAGGGGCCCTACAGAAGGAAGAGCAGCGAGACACATGCTGGCAGCTGCCCGTACGACTGTCACATTGCACCACCCGCCAGAAAAGCAGACGGAAGCCACTCGTCATTGCTGTGACAACCAACGCGTGACGAGAGGAGGCAGGAAACTTATCCATCAAAAAATGATGCAGGGATGAGTGCGCTCCTTTGTCTTTCTGCCTGCACACACACACACAAATACCCACTCACATACAGTGCCTTCATATTTCATCTGGGCCATCGAAAACAACTGTCTCCAAGAGGAAATTTCCGTCTGAACCTCATGCTTTCTCCACTCAGCAACATAATAGTGTATTTCCCTTGTAATGAAGTGACTGCAACCCCCCATAGGGCTAATGTTCAGAACACACAGACAAACTGAAAGCACAAGAGGACAGAAAACAGCCATTCAAGTGTGAACTAGGAGAAAACACCCCAGAGACAGAGACTGTCACATGGATAGTGAGGGGAAGTGTCTGGTTTTGTTGTAGACAAAAGTATTAACTCATTTGAAGAAACTTAAACCAAAAACTAGTTTTTTTTATATGTGGAGATTATTTTACACAATCTAAAACCAAAGCTGAGTGCAATTCAAGTGTGATTAATTACACACCACCTAGCAAAAATCACTAAATGCTTGTTGTTTTATATATATACACTGAGTATTTCCGCTGTAAACTTGTAATTTCATATCTTCCAGTGCACTAGAAAACCTGCCTGATGGATTTAAAGTAACTGTGCAGTTAATAGGACCATGGTCTGTAGCCACTCATATCAAAATTGCAAGCTGGTTGTCTGGAATCACAAGGCTGAGAGGATGGCCACTGCATTGTGAGGCATCTTTACATGAATAGAAATGTCTGTAAACTGCAAGTACTGAGCACCATCCAGTGGCCATGTTCGATGTAAGCTCCCACTGAAAGGAAATGGAAAATCCACCCCCAGCTGCATGAAGCTGGTATTGCTAACAGTTTCAAATTGAGCTTCAGGGACTCCAGATGTGTCATCTCAAAGGGTCACAACCTGTTCGTTGTGTGTGTTTTGTAGCCTCACTGTCTGCCTTGATATTTAAAATGATTTCAATCAATATTTTTATGAATACAATCTCTTAAATTAAAATGTGAAGACAATGTCACACTGTGATGCAGTGGAAATTGTTTAAAGCACTTTGGAGGTGAGAAATATGGTTAAAAAAAGAAAAGTACATTATTGTTAATCATAGATAATAACCTCAGATACACAGCTTCTCTGACAAATAGAAATTTGCTAGGTTTTAAAACCCACAAATTAAACACTTCATCCGCACAGACATGTGGGAGTTTTGACAGTTGTCTTGTGACGCTCTAAGATGTCAGTTTGTCTTTACGAACAGTGTAAAAGGAGGAAATAATGCACTTGCTTCCCCTTCTCTCTTGACAGTCAATATTCATAGAGGGGGTTCATACAGTATAACACAGAATATGTTATTTGGATTTGTTCAAGTAGGTAAAGGCAGATTCCAACTTTGGAGATGATATTACATGCGTGTATGTATCATCGCACATACTTCATCCCATTATTTCACTGTCATCTGTCAGCAGGGGATCACAGTGATGTCTGAGGTGAGAACCAACAGGTATGACTGTAGCCAGCAGTACAGGCAGAATAATGAATGAGTAATGAATAATAGAAGAATAATGAAGAATAAAGACTTGGGGGAAAAGGCACACACTCTCTATGCACACATTATGCACACATGAGGACAGACACAGATAATTATACAGTATTGCCATTTATCATTTTCTCCGAAAGAAAGTGGCTCCTGTGACCCCTCTGATGTACACAGCTTCATTAAGAGGAAGTCACAGATGGTCACAGGGCATGTGGAAAAACGTCGTCTCACACTACCTCTCTCTTCTACAGAAAAATGTTACAGACAGCAAAGAATAGAAAGAAAATTATATTTCAGAAAATAGGGATGTAAATTATAACATTCCAAAATTTCACATAAACTACACAGTGAAATTGGAAATGAAACCGAGTTGTTGTTTCTGTCTTCTGATGGTGAATGGCAACTGTTAATATGGCTCTGAATTCTATGTGAACTGGTGCAGTCTATATAGGAGCACAAAAGAAAAGAAACTTCAGACCTTATAGTTTAAGTGCCCAATACAGGAAATAGGGGAGTTTAGGAGAAATGTATTGTTTATTTGTTTGTAGTTTATGTTAAAATTAGATTATTTTGATAGCGTCTTTGTCCATTCCCTGTGTGTGTTATTGGTTTGGCCAGCCAGTATATATGGTCCCCCAGTCCTGTCTTTTTTTTTTTTTAAGCCAGTGGATTTTTGTATTATAGTATTGTGCAGTTCAGTTTGCTGTATTTTGCGTTTCGTTATCTTTTGTTGATCTCTTTTATCGCCCCTTATATTTGATATTTAAGGTAATTTTTTTCCTTATTTTTGGGTGAATAAAAAGCCCATCTTTTTTGAATTTTAAAATCTGCATCTTCTGCCTTACTGTTCGGTCCCTGACAGTACTTAAGTACCAATAACAGCATGTTTACTAAGTATAGTTCCATTATAATCTACATTTTCTATTAACCACACAAATACATCTAGTGTATTTACTTCACTTTATCTATTTGAGATCTACACCTCCTGGTTTCTTTGCATGCAAAAATGATTTAATACAGTATTTATTAATAATGCAGTACTACAATATGAGATTGGTCCTTTTGTATAAATACAGCTTTTACATTTGACACTTTTTGCTACTATTAGCTAATTATGGTGGTAAGCATGGTAGTATTGCCACATTCACTTTAGTACAGTTCAGTAGAATTTCACAAACTGTTCTCTTCCTTCCTAAATGCTTTGTCATGCAGGGTGTTGATTTGATTTAGCACCAGTTTCATCATGCAAGCGAAACAACTTCCTACATTTTGTCAACATGTTGTAACTAGGTTCCAGTGTTAAACACTGAAGCTAATACTTGACTGTGCGGGTCCTGCTGTTCTTGGCAAGTTAGGGCCTTTTTTTTTTCCAGGTTCTCCATCTGTCTGAAAGTTCACTTGTCCAAGTGGTCCAGTTAGGTGAACATGACATCTCAGGAACACTCTGAGGGAATTTCTTTAACTTTGGCACAGGTGATTAGATTTTGGTGAGCAAATGTCAAGGTCACAGGGACCTCACATCTGTCCCATTCTACCCTGAATAAATAAAGGTTAAAGGTATTTGCAAAGGGGCTGCATTGCAGCACGTTGGTTAGCACTGTCGCCTCACAGCAAGAAGTTTCCAGGTTCGATCCCCGGCCAACCTGGGGCGTCTCTGTTCTCCCTGTGCCTGCGTGGGTTCCCTCCAGCTTCCTCCCACAGTCCAAAGACATGCAGCTTAGGTTGACTGATGACTATAAATTGCCCGTAGATGTGAATGAGCATGTGTGTGGTTGTTTGTCTACCTGTCCAGGGTGTATCCCGCCTCTTGCCCAATGTCATCTAGGATTAGTATACATAATGGATGGATGGTTCTTGTGAATTTTATGTGCTGGTGGAGGCATTTAACTGTGAAGCAGTAATTCTAGTTTAAAAGTTGCAGCAGATCCTATTGCTTTTCTCTCGCACATACAGTATTTTCAGTATCTTACTAACAAATGAGATCACTAAGGTGTGGAAATTAGCCTTTATTTAAGGATGGTGATGCTTCCTCTTTAAATAATTACAGGCCTATTTCCAATCTGTTTGTGCTGGCTAAAATTCTTGAAACGCTTGGGAGTAACCTGTTGAAAACGTTTATACATCTTGCAAGCTATTTTGTCTGACCGTCAGTCTGGATTCAGGAAGCGGCACAGTAGCACCACTCCTGCAGAGAAGGTTGTGGATGAGTTCAGACAAGAAGCATAGCTGTGCAGCTTTATTTATTGATTTGTTAAAGCCTTTGTTGCTGTGGCTCATGTCCTGTTACAACCAAATTGTTTAATATAGTGTGACCAAACAGTAGGCTGGTTTTCTTATTATTTGTCAGTAATAACTTAGCATTTAAAAGCTAATGTGCTTGGTTAAAATTGGCTTAATTGTTAACAAGCTGATCACATTTCAGAGATTACTACTTGAAACACACAGGGAAAAACAAGAATTTTAAAGTTGTATAATATTGTTTATTTCAGTGTAAACCCTGTGTGCTGGTTTCATTTGCGCATACAGCCTTGTACAGTATACTCATCTTTAATTTCTGTGCATTTTGCTGAACTGTGACCTGCTCTGGAAGCCACTGACCCTCCGCCTCAGGTGAGAGGCACGATGTCAAACTGTCCAACAGCAACAGTCTTGGCTGTCATCAGCCTGAGCCTGAAGGTAATCACTGTGGGAGATAAGAAATGGTTGAAACCCAGTGTGCTGACTGTCTGGTAGACTTGCCTATTGGCTCTGTAATTTAAAAAACCATTAAAAGTTCTGTGGAGTCTGTTTAACCATTCTTCTTGCAGGTCCTAAACTGACTGATGAAGTTTTACAAATTGAAGCCTTTCATGTGTGAGATTATGTTTAATTATAATTATATGTATGCTCATTTGTGCATGTTACACGTTTAGTACTTTCATTAGCCTTTGGTTTTGTTCAGCTAGGAACAATGCGGGTTTTGTATTGATAGTTTTTCCTCTTGCTGTTGAGGCATTTTTCTGCTTTTTCTGCACTTTGCAATGCCACACCACGATTTCACCTGGGAATGTTATGATAGATATATTTTCTGCATTATTGTTTTGTTGACTCTTAGAAAACAAGAACTTGAAGCTTCCCTTTCTTTCAGTTTCCCAGTTTTATACTTCCTCACCTGTGCTTGTAACATTTGATTCATTCTCATACCTGTTAGCTGAAGTAACTGTAGCAATTGCTTTTGCGTCATCTCAAAATAACATGTTTAGCTTTTTCCTCCTGTTTTTTATGTGTGAGACCACAGGTAAGGATATTTCTATTAGTAAATGGGCTTTAAAAAATCTGAATATGGTTTGCAAATGCAACAATTTGTTTTTTCTTTGTGTTTGCAGTGAAATTCCAGTGTACCCTCACAACTGTCCACAATGTTCCTAGTACTACAGTGGGAGGTAATACAGAAATTGACTCTTTAGCTTGAAATTAAATTACTGAAAAGCAAGATTAACAGTCTATACCCTCTCTGGTGGCTGTGTGAAGCTGAATACTGCAGTATGTTAGTTTGGTGGTATTTTAACATTTAATGCTGCTAATTTAACATTGCTGATTAGCACTAAACATGAAGTACAGATCAGGCTGATGGGAACGTTTTAGTTTGGCAGGTTTTGGGTCATACACCAAACTACTGGACAAGCTGAAATGCTCTGATGGTGGTGTTATATGAAAGGTTAAGAAGTCACCAGCAGTTGAAGAAGTACTCAGATTCTTTACTTAAGTACTGGCAATAAAATATATTTAAAATACTAAAAGTAAAAGTGATGCTGAAAAATTATGCTGAATGGTAAATGACCATTAATGTATATCAGATAATTAAGATCTGAATTATTATTGTGTTAGTTTTAACTTCCTCATATGCTTCTAATGTGAATTACTGCTGAGTAGCTTGTGAATTTTCCATCAGAGATCAATGAAGTCTTATGATTACTGTTTTTTTTTATCAGATTCTGAAAAGTATCTAGTAACTAAAGTTATAAAATAAATTTAATGGAGTGAAAAGTACAATATTTGCCACTAAAATGTAGTGGTCAAAATATGGAGTAGCAGAAAATGAAAATACAGTGACAATCCATCCATTGGTTGATGAGGTTTACATCTGGTTCAACAGCTAAAACAAAACAAAGAAGCATTGCCGTCCCAAGTATTGCATCGCTAGTGAGGTTAAAAATCTGTGCAATGCCAAGAATTTCTCTCTACTTTCTCCATCTTCCATTCATCATTCTCCATGTATCTTTCAACCCACCCTTCAGTCTCAAATTCCTCCTCAGAAGGACCTCTATCACTGTTGGAGCTGGTGGCCACACCAAACTACCCTGTGGCAGCAGGTCAAACGGTCAAACTGCACTGCAGTGCTGTCCCCATGTGGGACATCAGTTGGCAACACCTGGAAAATCAGACCTGGCAAAACGTGAGCGCTGATCTGGATCTGACTCTCACCGAGCCACAGCAGAGTGGATTGTACCGCTGCTGTGCTAAGAACAGGGTACAGCAGAGGAGGATTAGCCCTAACCACACAGTCTATATTGTCGCCATGCAGCCAACAGGTTGGTGCTCTCTTGGTTTTTAATGCCGAATATTGGCAGGGGACTCATCATTAATCAGAGCACTAATAATAAAGCATGAGATTTTATTTTAGGATGGTAAGAGTGCACTGGCACCAGAAAGAAAACCACATCCACATTGATTACACAGTGGAAAACTAAAAGTGCTCTGAACAATTATTGGCATAATTTAATCCCAAAACCAATATAACATATTACAGTAGGAAGGGAAACGACTGGAGTACTGGATTTTGAAGTTGACATCCGTCTTGATATTTGTAAGACTTAAAAAATCTGGTATTTATATCACAATGTTTTTTTGTTCCTTGCGTAAACATCTGGCATAACAAACACTTTTTAGGAACATCAATATTTTCAAATTACCATAGTGACAAGATGTTTGTTGCATCACTCAGCAACACTTATAGCGTTCGTTCACGCTCACTGCTCTCATGGAGTTGTTTCTGGCCATAATAGGCATCTGTTTGTAGACAAAAAGTCTAAAAACCCAAAGTAAACTACTGCGTAGCTGGTGAATTTCAGGGGTGGAAGAAGTACTCACATCTCTTATAACACAACAATCTATAAATACTGTTTTACAAGTAAAAGTCCTGTATTCACAATGTTACTTAAGAGTACAAAAGTATTAGCATCAAAATATACTTAAAGTATTAAAAGTAAAAGTACTCTTTATTTGTCAGTGGCCAAAGAGTTGGTTATTGTACAATTGTGGCCAAGTCACAGAATGTTATTACTTCAAACATACAGTATCTTCTGCATAAACTTTAATGTGAGTTTACTTTTCATCAAACTAAAGGCAGGTACCAGTACAGCTGCTGTTAGTTCTTATCTAATGTACAGTATATAGAACGTTAAGAATGTTTGTTTGTAAAACTTGTCATTTTTAAATGTTTTTTCATGTTGCTGTGACCCACAACTTCCACGTGCACTTCTGTGCCATCCTTGACTTACAAAAGTGGGGGAGAATTTAGGAATAACTGCCTTCGTCCTGTCTTTGCTGGCCTTGATTATCAATATTGCCATTCTGTTTTGGCTGGGCTGGCAAAGATTTGGTCACATATTGATCAACTCCAGCACTGCGGCTAAAGGTAAACAACACCATACAGCATTTTTACCATTTAACTACATTTTTTTAAGCAAATGTTATGTGGATGGTTTCATTGTCTTGGTTTTCTTAAAGGTTTTCCCGGACCTGAAAACTCACCAACGTAAGTCTTGACAGGAGGAAAAATGCACACATTTTGTTCATTTATACTGATGTTTGCATGTTGCTTACAGGCTATTAAACTGTCTTAGTCAGAAGGTTGTATGTATTACCAGACTGATCCTATTTTTCAATGCATTAGGGGAGGTTTGCCACAGACTGAAAGTGAAAGAGATGTGTACATAAATTATACAAGAACCGACCATGCCTACACTGATCTGGACCCTGCCAATGTGATTGTGGATAACGTGTACTCGTCTCTGTCATGAACGTCCATCAGTAGGTGAAAACATGCAAAAAAAAAAAAAAAAATTTAACAAAAAGAGCATTATAATGGACCTGAAAGATGAGGTTTACCAAAGACGTTGGTCAATATGATTACCTGCAAGTGTGTGCTTTGTTTGATTTAATCTAATTCTACATACGATGTTTAACATAATCCTGATGTGGTAAAACCCAGAGAATTGAGATCCTTCTTGTTGATATGTCAGAAACTCTTTAATTGACATCAATCATGACAATACAGTAAATTAAACACAGCAATAAAAATTCAGTACAGTGCATTAACAGGAAATAAATATGTACAGCTTTCTTCATCACAGTCTACTGTATCATGTGATTGTTTCTTACGAGAAATAAATGCAATGTCAAAATACCAAATACCACATGGGGAACTTCTGTCCCCTGGTGTCACAACACCAGATATAATGTGTCCAAGCAAAGTTTTTTTGTTGTTGTTTTTGTTTTGGCTTGTTTGTTTTTAAAGCTGCATCATAAAGAAGAGGTCCATTGGCTCTGGACATGTGTATTATTGTTGACTTTTCTCCTGTTAGTGCCCTGCTTTGTGCAGAACCCCTTTGTGAGGAATAAAATAATAAACTGAGATAGTTATACACATTTTGTTTTTACTTCTGCTTGCAAAACATCTGCTCTTCAGCTTGTACTTCACAGAAAGAACAGGAAGAGTGGTGCAATTCACATGTCAGCACCTAACAGGCAAGAAAATGTGTAAGACCACATCAGAGCTTCATCATAATGGCTCTGAGAGTGTGGAGCTGCTGACACATTACATTACATTACATTACATTACATTACAAACAGGTGGAAGTTTATTAGGAACAACTAGTTAAAACTTGTTAGGTACTTTCTTAGTTAGATAGATATTGATTAGAGATCTGTTGTATTAGAAGATGTTAGTGTAGCCAGGATGTCTTCCTCAGGCTGTTAAATGCAAGGTTAGTTAAAGCAGAGAAAGGCTGCAGTCAGGGA